TGTAGATCCTTGACGCAATTGATGCAATTAATTGAGTCACTATTAAAACATATAAATAATTGAGTCATAACACAATTATTTTTGAAAATTTTAAGAATTGAGTCAACAGCAAAATAATTTATACCACATGTATAGTTTTTTGTATTGGCAAAAGAATAGTGGAAAGAGTTTTTTTTTTTTTTTTATAGTGAAACATATACAAGATACGTGATCTTTTTATTGATACGTTATATATCCAGACAGACACCAAGTGTCTCTACAAATTAACTGGAAATTGGTTGATATATGGATACCCTTTATGTCTCTATAAATTAATCTGCAGATTAATACTTCCTAATGCCTATATTACTATAAGATTAGCTACGCCAACCACTATTACCCAACTTATGCATTTATTTAAACACCATGAAGATATGCCCACATGTTAGGTGAAACTTCTGCAGGGTGAGAAATCCTACCACTAGTTTAAACCTGCCTAAACCTGCTGGTTCATTATTCAGGGAACAAGTTATTATGGAATATTATTATAAAGACTAATCCCAGTATTAGTGAAAAGAGTTTTTTAATTTTTATATACTTTAAAAGTATTTTATAATATTTTGTTTTTATTATTTTATTTATTTACTTTAGACTTTTGTAGAAAATTTAAATTCTCTTAAAAATAATTATCCTTTTATTAAAGATTCTTGTAATATTAATTTATTAAAAGATTTTTTAAATAGTTATAATTTTTCAAATTTTTTTGAAGATTTCTTTAATAAATTTCCCAATAAAACATATATGGATTTAATGATATTTGTTTTAAAAAATAAACTAAGCATTTTAATAGAAAATGAAATAATTTCTTTTTTTAATAAACATTCTAATTTATTGATTAGTCCATTATCAAAAAAATATTTAACAAGGATATAAATTCATAAATAATATAAAACATTTGAATTTAGATTATTTTAAAACTTGTATATTATTATATAATAATATATAATACTTTTTATTTTATTAGTCAATAATTAGTTGTATTAAAAATATTTTGGAGATTATATGTAATACATAATTTTAATATTTATTTTTCTTATTGCTAAGATAGTTTACATAGGCAAGTTAACGTTAGACTTATTAACTTAGCTAATTATATAAAAGATATTATTGCTTTTTCCATATATAAATTTCAAACAATTTTACAATTAATAAAGTAATAATATTTACTTATAAAAAAATTTTTTTTAATTAATAATATAATTCCAAATTAAATACAATTTTTAATTATTTACTATATACAGTATTATTTGATAATTCTAACATAATATAGATTTTGAAAAATGTCTGAATTCAATTTTATTATATATAATATATAGTTAAAATATATAATATCAAATAATTTTGGATCTGTGGATCTATAATGTAGTAGTTAACACTCCACAAGTCAGATCACAAGATATCAGTTCAATCCCAAGTAAAGGTAATTGAATAAAACCTATATGATATCTGGCACCATAACTTGTTATATGCTGTTTCTTATGCGAAGTCATTTCATATACTAATCCAGTGGGCGTTGAGATTGTAATCTCCAGAAAAAGTGACGTGGTGTGACAATCATCCGGTTGAAGCATGATAATCACCAGAAGTGGTCCTATAATGGTAGGACTCAACTATTAAAGTAAGAGATCTTGAAACTAATGTATGAAGCTATGACCACCTGTATTTTTGGGGCATGCCTATGCAGCGAGACAAAGTATGCAGGAGTTGCACCCTGCTTGATATTCGTATCCCTAGATTTGGCAGCTTATGCCAACTGATCCATTTGAAGTGTCTACTAGGAGTTTAAGGAAAAACCTCTTAAGGAGTCGCATCCCACTTGGCCAAAATAGCTCCTAGATTTGGTAGTCAGTGCCAATCAATAGTCAACCGGAGCATTCACTAGGGAGGGCATACTTGCGTTGAAGGACAGTGTTACCATATGTGGGTGTGCATGATAGAGGTATGACGTGATAGGTACTTACTTGGGTAGTTATAGAACTATCACATAGCAATAAAAACCAGTGTATAGACCTACCTACTTGGTGTAAGTTGGTATTCTGGTAAAAAGGGCAAGTAGCAGGAGTTAATATTAGCAATAGTTAATAGACTGTTTATATATAGATAGTTGTGATTCTAATCGATTAACAATAAAATCCATGCATGTATCACAACTTAACCCTTAAAAATATATATATATATATCAAATAATTTTGTTAAATTTTATAGCAATTATTATTATTATTATAATTTTATTTTATTTTATTTTTTATTTTTTTATTTTTTTTTTTGCAAAAGGCATTAAATGCAAGACATTTATTAAACTTTCATTTTTACATCATTACATTAAGAATCTCTAACATACTAAGTAAGTAGATTAATCCTAGTTAATATAAATAAAGTTGATATATGCAAACCTTTAAGAACCCAAGTAGGGAAAAGGAAAAAAAGGTAAAAATAGCTAGTTGCTAGTTGTATCATAAACCTTGTATATGTGCTTCATAAGTGATAATGGTGGAGAGTGGTGCGGTGCTTGAGTTTTGGATTGTGGCCTGAACCCATATAACTATATAGCCAAAGATAGTGTGATTAAGGGTCACTGATCCTGTCCATATTGGTGATCTAGATACCAATATGGCATGATTGACTTACACTAATCTTTTAATGAGAGTAAGCTGCTTATAGTTTTTATTATAAAAAATCTGAGAGCTGGATAAAACAAAAAGACAGTCCTGTGTATACATATGGTATAAATTATTTTGCTATTGACTTAATTCCCAAAATCCTCAAAAATAATTGTGTCATGACTCAATTGTTTATATATTTTAATAGTGACTCAATTAATTGTGTCAAATAATTGCATCAATTGCGTCAAGAATCTACGAATTTCAACAACATGTATAGTCCCGTGTAAAGATGGGTCCCTAAATTAAAGGTGAAGACATAATTCAAATGTCTTTCACTATTAAAAAAGTTTTTTTAAAAATATAAGATCAAAAAAAAACTACTTATAAAGGTTTTTTGCAATTTAGACCACTTGATTCAAGTGTTTTTTGAATTATGTTTCTATTAAAGTAATGAATAAATAATTATGTCCCTTCAAAAAGAACATAATTGATCTGCGAAATTTTATATATTAAATAGTTTAGGGACCCATCCTTAGTTCCGTGATTATTCTTTTTGAGTAGTATGTGGAATGATGGTATTGTCAGGTATTCAAGATAAAGTTGCTTATAACTGCATACTTCTGATACACTGGTTAGCAGTCTAGATCCTTAGCAAAGCAAGTCCTTATGTAATCAGTATTGCCAGTCAAATTTTCTCCTTTCACAATCTCTTCTTATATTTAACTGACTTGATATGTAGTTATTGACTATGGAAAGGTATGCCTAGAACTTTTAGAATAATGAGACCCATTCTTATAATCCTGATCTTTCAATCGAAATAAAACTATGTTAACCTTTTCTGTGTTAAGCTCTTTAGGACAAGAAAAGAAATTTTGGGAAGAAGCCTATACTTCTTGAACAAGTAAAACATTGACTTGAGTAAAGTTGATAGCTTGGTTAAAATAGGAAGATGACAAACCAGAGAGTTAATGAAATGGAGCGGTAAAAAAAAAAGAGGTTTAGAAAGAAAACCTTCAAGGAGAAAAGAAAACTGTTTATCAGTAGGAAAGGAGATTTGGGAAAGGGAAAAAGGAAGAAGTGAGAAGAAAAGAATAAACTATTCTCATGTTTGTGATTACCAGATGTACACAAAGCCTTGTAAGGAAAAGGTTGGTCATCCCAAAACCTTTCTATTCCTTATCTCAGACTGTTATTATGCGCAGGAGTTGGTCTGCTCACACTTCCCTAAACATGAGTGCTTCTTCTAGATATACTGCCAGACAGTTAATGAAGTCTCGTGTGGTGTCAGCACAACTCAGATTCAACCTGCTGCAAGTTCTCACCTTTAGCAGAAGAAGAGAAACGAAGGAGGAAGAGAAGAAAATTTCCTAAAAAAGAAGTTTTCTGACAAGGTGGAGTTAGTGGGAAAGAGTTTTTTGTTTTAAATATATTATTATAATTTTATTAAATATTTAAATTAAATTATTGTAAATAAAAAAATTATCAATTGTTTTTTTTTTTAAGATTGACTATACTACACATATGAATTTTATTAATCATTATAAATTACATTTCTTATATACGAACAGTCTATTAACTATTGTTAATTAATTGATGCCACTTAATTAACTAAATATATTAACTTATATTTTAAGAATGGATTTATATATCAATATGAATTTAAGGAAATAGAAATTCTGTTATCAGTTTTAAACTACTTAACCTTGACTCCTAATATGAAACAGGATAATAACATGTTAGCTAAATTTTATTTAGATTTCTCATCACTTCATATCTTCAGCTCATGCAATTACAGTACTCATGATTTTACTAAAAAAATTGTTAATTGCTATTATATTGAAGTTTAATATAAATTTACTAAAATTTCTAAAATTTTTTATTGCTACATACTATAATTTTTTTTATTAAATTTTTATTGGCAAATGTTTTTTTAATTATCACATGTTTCTTTTTTCAATTTCCAATATTATATTTTTATTTTTAAATTATTATATGTTTTTTAAATGCCAAATGGCATAAATTGAATCAAACAATAAAACTTTATGAATTTTTATTAATAAATTTGTATCTAATCAGCTGTAATTCAGCAGCCAAATAACCTATATTATATTTAGAAAGATTTTTTGCATATATTTTTTATTCTATTTTCTTAATTAATTGATCAATATTATCTTAAATAAACTAATTATTTTATTTTAAAATTATCTAATGTATTAAAAATTCAATTTAAAAGATTTAAAATTTATTTGAGAAATTAATTTAATAATAGAAATTAAAAAACTTTTTCATTTTCTCTTTATTGCTTAAAAATCATGAATTTTTTAATTGTTTACAAAAGTATTAAATAAGCAGGCGCTGTTAGCGTTCTGTACAAAGGGCAATAGCATGATTCGTTCCGCATGCAACCCGTTCAACAATCACATCCTGAGGAAACGTGACTTTCATGGGTACAAATTGATTGTTCGTATGACCAAGACCTAATCTACCCGAAGGGCCTCCACTTCCCCACGTAAACAGCTCCCCAGATGCTTTTAGCAAACATTAGTGAGTAAGGTTGAATGAAAGCAAGGATTCTAATATATTAGAATTACCTGAAATCGCCGCCATATAATCTGGACCACAATAAATTCTTTTTATATTACTGAGGTCCGGTACACGAATGGGTTTCAGAGACTCAATCGTACCATCTCCTAATCCCAGTGCACCGTAACCACAAGTGTACACGTCACCAATGTCTGTTTGAGTCAGAAAACGAAAATTGTAAGATCTTATTTGGCGCGTTTTTATATTTCGGTAGAAAAAGTAAAATCAGATATTTTTTGTAGCAAGTTCCTATCTTTCATGCCTAATCAGATGGCCCCTGAACTTGTGTGTCATCATTTATTTCAAGCGTAATAATTTAAATTCGATAATAACTTACCAGTTACATATGCACTAAAAGAGCCTCCAATTCCAACGTCGACTACTTTATGTTCGACCGAAACTTTAGTTGGCTCTAGTATCTTAAAGGATAAGTTTTTCAGTCTGAGTGAAAATAAAAATATTAACTATATAAAGATAATGTGCAATAATTTAAAGTTAATAAACCTTGTTAATTTTTTTGCCTGTCATGCACTGACCATACTCAGAATTTCCCCAACTCCATAAGTGACCATTGTCTACAAATTTAAATTTATGATTGAGATTCCTAAAGCAAATAATACATCGATAATAGACAGACCTACCCAATAAAGCTAAAGTTGAGTCGGTGGTAGATACAATTTTTCGAATGTGAGAATTATGGAATTTTCGAATTAAAGAAGGGACAGATCGATCTGAGGTTTCATTATTTCCTAGACCAAGCTGACCATCGGCGCCCCATCCCATCGAATAAAGATTACTATTTTCTACGAGTCACTGCCGATTGTTATTAGGATATCGCATTATGAATAAGCATTACCATAATGATTTAAAAATTTTACCAGTCAACAGGATGGTATGATCAAATCCACATGCTACCTGAACAATATTTTCTTCGATGCTGTTAACGCGACGCGGCTTGGAAAAGCATACAAGCTTTGGATTCTCGTCATAAAAGAAATCTTGTTTGCTTTCTCCAAAACCAAGTTGTCCATACATCGTGCAGCCGAAGCCGAACAAATCATTTTTTCCTTAATTTTTTATAATCAAGTCATAAAATTGTTGGAACATCCTCAGCATAAAAAATATCAACGCACCATTTTCTTTTGAAAATAAAATAAACGAATGAAGTCTTCCGCAATTTAGAGAATGCACAGTATAGTTTGATGGCAGTCCTTCAACAAATCCATCATTAAAATTATAATCATTGGTCGTGCCATGGCCTACATGTGGTAATTAGAAACATTAAATTCGTTTAGAGACCAAGAATCATTACATAAGTTTTACCTAATTGCCCAGAAGAATTCAATCCGAATGAAAATACCTTCGCAATTTCTTTGTTTTCATGTGGTTTTAATTTAAAAGCTATAAGTGAATGAGCCCAACCACTTGCGATGTGGGTCACTCTAACGTCCTTTTCGTGAGATCCAAAGTGAGGACAGTTGAACTTCCCAAGATTATATTTTATTCATGATGTCAGCCCACCTCAATTCCGTCAATTTCTATTCTAGTTTTCACAAGTTTGACCAAGTTTAGTAACCGAGGAGAGGTTGAGGTTTCCAAGAGGGTTCCATGTGTATTTATTTTAGAACCTACAGACCCCCAGTAAAACAACAACTTTCGTTGATTACTGGACGAATATTTTCGATAAAACGTGTTGATTAGGTTGGCATTAAATTTAGTTAATGTGGGGAATGACATCGCAAAGAAACGATAATCTAGGAATGTGTACGTTACATCCATTTTTGGTAAGATACATACCGTGTCACTTTGTTTACCAGGTGCAGGGTACGAGACAACGGATAAATAGATCGTCGCGACTCGTCTCGCGTACTTTCTGTTTGGCCAGTAATTATCGACGCCTTTAAGACTATAGAATGAATAACGAACAAGAACGGCAAAATGAACTACCAAAATTTACCTTACCCCCAATATATAACTTACCGGTCATTTCTTCAGCAAACCTCTCGAGAAATAATACTTCTGAACTGCCTAGAGGTATTTTTTTGAGCTCTTCAAAAACTTCCCAAGATCCGCTTTTCCAAACAAAATTGAATATCAGAAACACTTTGACGGCTCATGATTCAGAAGGACTTAACCCTCGCACACCTTCGCAACAACCGCAACGTCTTTCTCATAATGATCTTCTTTTGCCTGAACCACAACCATCGAACGATCGCACCAATGTATCTTTTACAGCATATTGGCCGGGATATTACGCAGATTACTCTTTGACTTCTCATAGTAAAGATTACAATAACGTAAATATGTCGCAAGCCGTTGATTCGGTATGGTTCGGAAGCGGAGAGTTTCACTATTCTGGTCGTCAGGATGTAACAACAGTGTCACCTAGTAGAATTCTAAATACGCAACTACCTTCGTTAGGTACGCTGGTCCATAAGCCATTACATGAAATCTCTGAAAATCAACAATTGGGATTAAATAGTATTCGGAAGTTGTCGCAGCAACAGTGCATTAGTGAGTCGAAAAAAGATAGGATAATATCAACATGTCAAAAAGATGCAAATGATGATAAGGAGAATATGGGTATGAAAGAAAATCATTTGAAAAAATATATTTTATTTCAGTTTGCTCCATAATAACCGCTATGAATGTGCGATTTGCAGATCCAGGAAAATTTGAGCACGATATGAGAGACAGTAATAGTCTAGAATACTTACATTTGAAAATCCATTCTGAAAGTGAGATTGATAAAAAAAAAAGTCGTTCAAATTGGAAAAAGAATGAGACAAGATCATTGATTGCAGCAGTAAAACCTAGATGGAAGAATTTATTGCTGGCCCAACGCAATTCCGAAAAGTCTCGAATTTGGTCCGAGATGTTTTCTGATCACTGCGAGAGGTTCTCAGGAAGAACCCTAAAAGCCTTTAAATTAAGGTAATAGTATCACCTGAATATTGATAATCACAACTACATAACTCGTGCATATTTAAAAACATGAATCGTCACTTTTTGAAGGTGGGCCAGATTAGTATCCGACTTTAACTCGGTTGAGAATAGTTTGCTGGCAGGCACAGAACCTATCGACTTTGATTATTATTATGAAATAAGGGAAATACTCAACGACGAAGCAAACGAGACGTCATTCGAAAAGGTATCGGCGCTCGATAATGTAAACGGAGAGCGTGATTTAGAAGGTCCAATTGAAATATTTAATGAAACACAAAAGAGAATCTCGAAAAAACGTGATAAGAAGCAAATCTCCTACGCACTTTCTCCATGTTGTTCTTCATCAAACTCAATTAACATCGATGAAAACGAGAAACCATCATTTTCGCAGACAGTAGAGAAAGCCAAACTCATTGCAGGAGAAAGAATCGTTGAAAATATTCTTCAAAAAATTCAAGAAAATAAGCAAGACTACGAAAAGTTAATAGGGTGTTTAAAGGATCTTACTAAATAATCAAATAAGTTTAAAGGGAATCTGATATTATTTTAAAAAAATGTGTTACATATTTGAAATTTTGTTGAATTAAAAAGTGCAACGTGACGATGAGGTGATCATTTAATTTAAGAAAAAATGATCAATTTGCACAACTCTACTATAGGATAAATGAATGCTTCTTATTTATTGTATATAATTAGAGTTGGAAAAAAAGAAAAACCAGCATGCGTTCTTCATAATGTGTTGAAATATACGATTCTTATGTAACGTTAGAGACAGAAGCATATTTCATATACTGAAATTAGTAACTTATTTGTATTGAAATATATCAAAGATCACAAAAGAGTCCGTAAAAGTGTTATTTATCACCAGCTGATGCTGCATACCCGAATTCTTACAAAACATAATCATTTAAGATCGATCTATTTTATGATTAGTAGAGAAAAAGGCAAATTTAATTAAAATAGTTTTTATTATAGAAAAAAATTATTTATGGTTATTTAATTCAAATGTTTTTTAGTGCTGTTCATTAAAATAAAAAGTAAATAATTATGTTAATATAATTTAAAGTTATAGTTTTTTTTTTTTTTTTTTTTAATCCTGCAATCAGGTTGGTGTCGTTTATTTATTTAATCATAAAGAACCATTACAAGTTGAG